AAATAAAAAACAATCCCTAACCTGCCGCTAATACTCCGTCATACCTTTCTGAAGTGTTTAGCAAACCCAAAATAATTTAGTTAATCCTGAAGGGACCCAAAACAGGAAATGTTTAGTCTAAAAAAGTTTGATTTTCTTTTAGTTCCACACTGATGGCTAAAAACAGTTTGATTGACAATTCAATTTTCAAGTTATTTTGGGTTTTTATTTTCTCCTCAGATCCTTTACTTAAACAGCTGAGCCAGCACCAGGTAAGAGTGTCTGAACTAAAACCTTTCCTCAAAGTAGAGTGGGTCAAAACTCCTCCACAGTGATGTTAAACATTCATCACCAGTTATAACCAACGCTTGATGGCAGCTGCTGATGCCAGGAAGGAGCAGCAGGTTTTTGCATAATGTCGGGTTGGTTTAAATTTATTTTAAAAACATGAATGAAATTATGGAAAATGTTCCACAATTTCATGAAGTGCACCATGTTTTAACATTTCCTGGTACCCTAAGGTTAGTGAGAAAATTCATCCCCCCCTAATTTTCTCCCCTTTAAACAACCTGTTTCTTTCTTCAGACGTTCACCTTTGAACCCTTATTTTTTCTTTTTTTAAAGAGATAAAACAGATCTGAACTCTGACTCTTGTTCCTACCTGGTTAATATTTCTCTCTGATAAATCACCCACATCCTTCAGGCACATTCATATCACGACCTCCTGGCACCAAACGGCTGCCTGTCATGCTTAATCTGATGTGTAGATGATGCTGTAGGCGCTGTGCTGCACGGATTTAGTTAAAAAAAGTAGAGGCTGCATGCAGCTTTGCTTATAGAAACCTTCTTCCATGCTGCAGAGTATCAGCATTGTGGATCAGTTGTAGGCTTTGGACTGTGATTGTCCTGTGTGGCGTACAGTAATGTCTGAACATGCCTTGCGATTAACTGTGGTCGTAAATAAACCGTGTCTGTAGGAGTGACACACCCAGCTGTGGCGAATAGTTTTTACCTTGACACAGATGCTCTTTTCAAATATATTTTTGTGATTTTGCATTTTTAATGGAGCGGCTTTTTGTTGTGACAGTCTCAGGGAGCATCAGCATAGACCTTTTCCCAAACAGTTTTTTTTTTTTTTTTATTACAGTTATGGTTAATTTAGCTCCAGTCTGCTGCTGGAATACAACTTTTAAGTTCTAAAGAGTTTCAGTCCATCTGTAACGATTGTGCAGCTGCTCTTCTAAAACTCTGTTTTCCTACTGTGCTTGGAGACAGATCCATCTGCTGCCAGTTTAGGACAAGCTGTGTACTGGTGGTGACTCTTAGGGAATATATTCCTTGTTCTTTGATGCTAGACTTCTGTTTTAAATGCTTAAATGCATTGTGGTGCTGCCATGTGATTTGGTTTATTTGTGCTGAAAGGTGACCGTAAAAAAGTGGCCAAAATAAATGCAATAAAAACTTTGATCAGCAGTTAAAAAAAAAAAAAGGTCCTGGAGTGTTGCCTCGGTTTGGAAAGATAAAACTGTAGATTAATGCAGAATAAAAGCTAAGATCTAATCTAGGTGTGAACAAAAAGTAAATAATTCCCATTGACTAGAGGTAACGCCCCCCAAGAAGACGCTTTGATGTATTGAAATTCAGATCAGAACCAGAACCAGGGATATAGGGATACCTCCACACTCTGCTTCAAGCTTGGATCTGTTCTTCAAAATAGATCACTAGTGTTATGAATTTAGTTCATAACACTAGTGATCTATATATTATATTCATTATTTAGAATGGTATTCATCTCTATACTCATTCAGTAGAAAACCCATGTCCTGTATTTATGGGACCATCATTTATCCTGCACTTACTGCTATTGCACTTCTGATTAGACCTAAACAGCATTTTGTTTCCTTGTACCTGTACCTGTGCAATGACAATAAAGTTGAATCTAATCTAATCTAAAAAATTCCTTTTCGTGCAGCTGGTCTTATAGTGCCTGTTAGTGCATATTTTACACATTCACCAGGGATTGCATGTGTTGACCACTCATAGCCACTCTTAAGGATAATGATGCCTAATTTGCACCCACACATAACTCTAATATCTATTGTATGTCATCATATTCAAACCAATTATCTCAAAACCAATCAATTATAAAAATTGGTTATTCTATCAATATAATTGGTGAATAAATTCAGGTGATGAGGGGTTAAATGGCTGTGATTAATATCTGGAACAATAAGTCTGGATCAGGATATTGCCCAAAAATTACGATTTTGAACTAAAGTAACCTTTTAAAGTCAGTAACTGTTTTTGCAATACGTTTTTATGAATTTCATTTTTAAAACAATCAAAGTACATCTGTGTCATGAGAGAAACTGCTGGCCACAGCTGCTTTAAGTTGTGTTATAGCCTCGTGTTGGTCATGCTGCATCCTGCAGGTAAAGCCTCTATCTGCATGTCTGTCATTGGCTTTGTCTGTAACAACAGGATTCTGCCAACAGGACAAAAGAGTGCAAAGAGACAAAGAGAGGAGGGGGGGCACCCAGGCTGGTGGAGACTGACCTTACTTCCAGAGTCCTTGGGTCCACACTCCCCTTTATCGTACCACCATTTGTTTTTCAGTTTGTCTAAGACTCCTGCTTCACTCAGTTTCAATACGGCAAGGTTTACGGGCGTTCTTCAAAATCAGGGTGGAAAGGGGAGGGCGGGGTGGGGGGAAATAACATAAATAACATCATAGGACATGTTATTTTATGTTATTCAGTCAGAAGAAGCCCAACAAGAGCAGCTCAGTACTCTTCACAAAGTGACGAAGCCAGAATGGGGCCCCACTGTGGCTACATGTCTCTTTGCTCCGTAGTCATCGGACTCCAGGTTGCTCTGGAGATGGGAGCAGAGCTAACAGACATATAAATGTGTGGGGCCCCGGCTGCATCGCTTTTCTGGAACGGGCGCATACTGCCGGGACCTTTCTAAGAACAACCAGAGAGGCTCGTACTGCTGAACCAGAACTATTTGCCACGTTCTGCATCAGAAACGCCCAAAGCAGCCAGAGAACTTCTCTAGAAGGGAGGCTGAATCTTCAAGCAATGTTTAAGAACAGCAAATATTTCTGCTTCCACAGTATTCCTCTTTCTCTTCGTAGGTTAAAAGGTTTTCCAAACGTTCTCCGTCTTCCAGGGATCGACCCGGCAGATGCTCCTGTCCCCAACAAACATTTCTCTCCTACCCACATCAAGGTCACATGGGCACAGCGACATTGCGGCTAACCTTCTCGCCACCGCCTCCGCTGCCACATTCTCCTTTGTCGTACCACCACTTGTTTTTCAATTTGTCCAACAGGCCCTGCTCATTGAGCTTTAACACTGCCAGGTTAACTGCACTTCTTGAAAACGATAAAGCATATTTGGTGAGAGGGGTGAGTATGCTGTCCAATTTGAGAGGGAAGGAAGAAAAGGGGGAGAGGGGAGGAGAAGTCGGAGAGGGACAAGGGTGGAAAAAAGTTAATCCCAGTTAAAAGACCCAAATGCACTCAGAGCACCAACCTCTCCTCTGACAGTGGGTCAGCATGTTTTTTGCTTTCACTCTTGATAAAAAGATGATTAACATCTGGAATAAACAGCATAACGAAGATTTGTTTCAGTCAACGACGAGCACTCAGTTTGGAGGCTGAAAGTTTAACTGCAGAAAATGGAACCTTTTTGTTAGATTTGCTTTAAAATGCAACATGGATACCGATTGATACCATTAGGCTACCAATGCTAAAGGATCAAATCAAACCTCTTGAACTTTTCCACATCTTTTGACGTTACAAACACAAACTCCTTTTTTATTTTAGTTTTGGAGATCAGTGAGTTGAAAACCAAGTGCACCAGCACCGGCCAAGGTGCGGTATACTACTAGACACATCTGCAATCAACAACAATTAATGAAGATTTCCAGACGACTTCACCATTGAAACTCACCAGAGCTATAGTGAAACTGCCAATGCCCACATGCATGGCAGTTGGATGTTAGAATAAATCGGGTAAAAGTGAAAAAAAAATGTCTCAGGTTGGTCGTTGGATTGCCAACTTGAAGAGGGAGGATTTGCCATCTAACTTCTGGCCAGAGAAAAAAAACGTAATATGTTCCAACATTTGGAAGAAGAATGTTTTCAAGATGACTTGGATAATAGCGCGTTGTGACAAATGCAAGATACAGCACTGGGACTTGATCAACAGCCGATACCGCACCGTGACGTCACAAACCAGTAGGTGGCAGTAGTGTTCTTTGACAAATATGGATGCCTCCAATAAAGCACATTCAAATGAAAATTACCCTTAATTAAAAACAAATCATTTATTGAACAGTATGTAACAATTTCATATTTAAAGCACTTTCAGAAGTTTTAATTCTGAATATGACCGGACTTTTCCTTTCATTTATAAGAACTTTATGTGAATCCAGGTGACTTTTAAAGGCAGTTGGGTTCGCAGGATTTCATTTTGAGGTATTAAAGATGAAGGGGGTCACGCCACAAATCAGTGTCAGTAGTAAAATCCGAAAACATGCACATGTTTCCCCTGCTTCCTGCTCGCTGTCTGTAATTTAAAAAAGTACGAACAAGTTAAAGTTGTGTCGATGTTTCTGTGTGGCATCAAACCTTGTGGCATCAATTGTAATTGTTCATTTTCTATAATATATTAAAGTCAAACCAAAATAACTAAAAGCAATTTATCATATTTAAGAAAAAATCTCAGAAACAAGTCACCACTCTCACCTTCAGGCTAGATGTGATTGATAAGAACATGCAGCCACTTCAAAGCTCCAAATTTCTGGAAAATCGCAACTGCCTGATGCCGGTTATCTGGTAAAAGCTGTTAATCTTTCTTTCTAAAGGCTGCTGTGGAAATGTTCAAGGAAATGTTTAAAGGCAATTGAAAAGGAGGTAGAGGTTGGTCTTCACATGCATTTAGATCTTTTTCATTCATTTGTTTCATTGAGAAGATGAAGACTTTTGACAATGGAAGCAGATAACAGACATTAAAGCAACAAAGTGAGTATTTTCAATTTTAGCTGCTTAGTATGAGGGTGGAGTCAGGTGAACGTCCAACCTTTGAGAAACGGGGGCAGCTGGCTCTGCATGCTGCTGGTGTGTTTCCTAGCCGATACCCAGAGAGTATCTGACAGAAAATGAAGATCCCTTTGAAATAAATAAAGCCATAAGGTGAAAGCCCTGCAGAGAGGACCACCATGATCTGTCAGAGACTCCTTCTGGTCAAAGCAGCTTCTGAAAACTGCCACCAGCTTGGCAATAAACCAAATCACAGCATCAGGCTTGTCAGGAATTAAATCTATTCCGATATAAAGGTGCTCTTGTGAAAGATATTTGTGCAGGTATTGCAAAAAATAATGACTTTCCTAAAGCCTCTTGCTCAGGGATTAATTAGTGTGTAAACCAATGCACCACTGCATCAAAACATCTGCACACATCTGCTTTCTTAGTCTTCATGAATGTGAATAAGTAGCCAAGATCAGAGCTACAAAGCTTTTAGAAGAAGTATTTAGCAGGTCTAAAAAAAAGAAAAAGATCCTTAATGTTAGAATGTATTCCTAGCTATACCATCATTTATATCTAGAATGAGAAAAAGGAGGTTCCTTAGATCAAACAATATTTTAAATTTATAAATACACTCAGATATTATTAATGTCATTCAATAATCCAGATGGATGGATTGGATGGCACCCAGGAGAACAGCTGATGAGGAGATTTTTTCATCATAGGAACCAGAACAAATAGCAATGAGGGTTGGTTTAAGACTTTTGCACAGGCCTGCAATTGTAATATTGGATCAGTGGAACCTTAGCCTCGTGAGACCATCCTGATCTTGCGAGCTTTCAAGGTTTCACTCGCAAATCAGTCTGGAGACTCTCCATTAAAGAAAATTTGGAGCCGTTCACCAAACGAACGTCCAATCAGCGTTGGCTTTAAGGCGGGTTGAGGTGTGACGCAACGAGAAGCGCGACAGTTCAGTCTAAAGAACATGGCGGCTTCAGCCGATGAAACTAGCGTTAGCGTGGCTATCGAGCAAGTTTTATCGGAATTACAGATTATTTCTTCACTGAAAGAAGAGCAAAACACTGCTCTGGAGGCTTTTCTCAGAGGAAAAGATGTTTTTGCTCTTTTCCCGACTAGTTTCGGCAAGAGTTTGATCTATCAATTGGCTCCACTTCGTCGTTGCTCTGTTAGTACGTCATATGCTTCGTTGACCTGATTGGTTTATTTGGCCCGTCTATCACCAACATAGGCCAATCAGCTAACCAGTATTTTCGCCCCTTCCCAAAATTTCTTCAACGGAAGGTTCCCAGATGGATATGCGGAGCAAATCCATCTGGCGGAGTCAGGTTATGGAACCTGGCTGGAGGCTGTGATTGATAAGCTGAACCCGGTGACTCAGGGCTGGGCCTTCAGATGACTCCTGACACCTAATACATTAACTAAACAGTAACTTCTCAAAGTAAATACAGGAGCTCCCCTAAATAAGACATTTCTAGAGATGAGAAGATAAAGCTTCTGGCATGCAGCTTAAACATGTCTCCCCAAACAGCAAGCAGAGACTCACCTGCAGGGTAGATCTGTAAAAACAGAGAGAATGAAATAAAAACCACCCCTGCATCATCACAACGCAGCCCCCCATGCATACAACAAATACAAATGTTTACCCCGCCCCACACACCCACATCAAGCAGTGAGTGGAGACAGATATAGAAAGGCGGCACGCCAGGGAAGGTGGAATACCATAACAACACGTAGAACATATTGTTACACTATTCCACCCACCTTAACTGTGAACCCTTGGGTGTGGCCACTCCGTAGCCTTTGGAGTCCAGGTTGCCTCCCACTTTCATTGTGTCGCAGGGTTTTCTCTGCTCCGTGTACTCGTTCATGGTGGACTCCAGCAAGAAGGCGTATTTCCCCTTGGACTTGCGGACACGTGCCACCCCTTCGGCCGTGGTCTTGGTGAAGACCGTGGGTTCGGCAGACTTCATGTAGCCCCACATCTTCTCATAGACGGCAATCTTGGACCGCTGTAGGGTATCAATAGGGTTCAAAGGCAGGTGCAGAGTGAGAAACGGACAGCAATGACAGCTTGTACGTGACTGTAGGCAAAATGCCTGAAAATGTGGTGCTCTTAATTACAACCACAGCTATACTTGAAGTGTATAGACAGACCAACACAAAGAATAAATAAAGTAACTCCAACGTAAAGTTTTGGAGAGGTTTAAAGCAGGATTAGGTTCTAAAACAATGCCCCAAGCATCTCCTAAAGCAGGACATACACTGTACGATTTTTTGCCTTTTTCGGGCCGATTTTCCAGTCGTGCAAGAATTTTTCAATTGGGCCGACTTTCAGCCTGATTGTGCGTCATGCATCATGCAGTGTAAAGGTTGTCATAAGGGGTGAAATGCCTCTCACGACCACCTCATGATCAGGAATCGTGAGGTTGGGAGAAAATCAAACATGTTTGCTCAGTGGGCATGCACAAACAAGGATTCATCTTCTCTGAAGAAAACATAGAAGCATGGTTAGGGTGCGGGTGAAATGGAGTTTCTTTCTGTAAAAGTGACGGACTGTAGTAGCCACGTTTGCTCAGCCATGTCTTTGTCCAAATACGTTGTTGCCTTTTCTTTTAGGGCTTTGAGCACACAAATTTGCCCAAATTGCCAAGGCACAAATCTATTCTCGATTTACCGGTCGATCTACGTTCCTACCCTCATCTATGGTCATGAACTCTGGGTCATGACCAAAAGAACGAGATCGCGGATACAAGCGGCCGAAATGGGTTTCCTCCGTAGGGTGGCTGGGCTCTCCCTTAGAGATAGGGTGAGAAGCTCGGTCATCCGGGAGGGACTCGGAGTAGAGCCGCTGCTCCTCCACGTCGAGAGGAGCCAGTTGAGGTGGCTCGGGCATCTGATTAGGATGCCTCCCTGGTGAGGTGTTCCAGGCATGTCCCACCGGAGGGAGGCCCCGGGGAAGACCCAGGACATGCTGGAGAGACTATGTTTCTCGGCTGGCCTGGGAACGCCTTGGGGTTCCTCCTGAAGAGCTGGAAGAAGTGGCTGGGGAGAGGGAAGTCTGGGCCTCCCTTCTTAAGCTGCTGCCCCCGCGACCCGACCCCGGATAAGCGGAGTAAGATGGATGGATGGATGGATGGATGTCAAGGCACAGCGTTTCACTCTACTTCATATTGCTCTTCTACTCGTTTGGCTTCCAGACAGACGAGTCCGAGTAGCACCATCTCACTGCAGAGCTGAGTCCGACGTGGTTTTTAGACGTACAGTTTGAGCAGGTAGATCGCAACAGAGCTTCGCGCTACCCAGTGTGAGAACATACATTGAAAGCTGTGAACTTTTAAACCCTGCAGTTTCATTATACAGTGTTAGCTGTAGCTGCGTGCAATGTTAGAAAATATCGTTCAGTGTATACACTGTTTAAAGCCCTTTATATTCATCATCTAAAGATGGAGAGAGGATGTATCAACTACAGATCGACCCTGAGACGTAGACATCCACTGCTTTGTGTTGGTCTGTCCCAAGGTTTTAAGTTGACTAAATGTTCAATAACAGTTTATTTTCCTTTCATTGTGATAAAACTTGGGTTAGTTCTCCTACCTGCCCTGGAGTGGACCATTAACCCCAGCAACTCCAACTCACCCTGAAGAACTCTTTGGTGGAGCCCGAGTCCAGAGTGCCGTAGGCAATGTCTGTCTGCTTGGCCAGGTCCTCTGCACTCTCGATGGGGGAGACCATCCTTTCCACAGTGAGGAAGGCAGCCAGGTTGGCCGTGTAGGATGAGATGATGATGAGGGTGAAGAACCACCACACCCCTCCAACTATCCGTCCAGATAATGATCTTTGGGAGGGGATAACCAAAAGAACGGCAAGGGGTGGAGGATGGAGCAGGGAAATTATATTTAGGATGTATAAACAGGGAAAATTAGAATTAGGAAGAGAAAAAAAAGTGAGATAAAAGAAAAGAATTAGTCCCACGCTCAAATGTTGACTTAGAGTTTACAACTGCATGGAGAAATGAAGATGAAGGTTGTTCAACCACAAGGTGGAGCTGTGTCACTATTACAGGCAGCCAGAGCTATGTTTACCCTTCATTAGGGCAGACTGCCTCATAAAAACCTCCACATGCCTTAATGGAGCGGGTTTAATAAAGAAAAGATGTAAGCAGCTTCTGCTCCTTCATCCCAAACCCTTGTTTCTGTTTACTGATGGGATGAAGAGAGCTGCGGCTCCCCTGGTTCTCCACATCAGCCTCTTGTTCTTTTCTCTTGCTTTTTCCTATATTTCCCTCCTCGCTCGGGGGAGACGGATAGCTCCCTGCTCAGGAGCAGGGGAAGGTCGTGAGGAGAATCTTAAACCATAAATGCTGCATTGAGGAGAACAAACAAGATCTCCCCTTGGTGCAAATCAAACAGCGGAGGCAGGGGAGTCTCAAGCTTTTCAAAAGTGTGGGGGATGTGGTCAGTCCACGGTTGTCGCAGAGCCAGTTGAATGTAACAAACAACATTTCATACATTTATCATACTTTCTGTGCACTCTGGTTTCTGTCTTATGTCCAAACATCACATAAAATCTAGCATTTATTAATATTACCTAGCTGGAAAAAAGAATCTGTGGCCAGCGCAAATTAATAGAAGTAGCTCGTTCTTATTTAACCCCTGAGCCATTTAGCTCTGTCTCTCTTCCACCGTTTTTTTAAACTTTGATATCAAATATATATTGAATAATTTTTGTTGGAAATCTTCTTGATTTAGTGTTTACACTTTAGCAAACTGAGTTACAGATGTTTTTATCTCTGTCCTTTATGTTATTTTTTGTAATCCATGTTTTGTATCTCAGTGAATGAATGACAGCTCTGGACTGTTCACTCCGCTCCCCCATTCAAATTTTCCCTGAACCAATCAGAGTGCAACAGAGGCTGGATGTGTGTGAGACTGTCCTGTCAGAGAAGTGAATATCACTGACTGTGATCAGCCAATAGAGCAAAGCGCTGGCCGTCGTTCTGCTGAGAAATGCCTGCAATGCATCCCCTCGGTCCACGTTAGAGGGGCGTAGAATCCAAATTTAGGTTTTTGTGTCAGAGCATGAGCTAAAGAAACCTAAATTTTGATGTGTAGTCACTATATATGCCAGTAATTGTCTCATATGAAACCCATAC